TGAAAGCAGAGCAAAAGCTCAAAGAAGAAAAACAGAGTTTTGTAACTTTCTCTCTTATTTCGCTTAAAGATTTTGGTTACATCAAGATGTCATTTATAGCTAAGATACAAAACCCTAAATCAGCTCACTAGCTGTCAGTCAATGACTCGAAATTGCTAAGGGTGGTGCTAAATCGATAGTACCAAACCATACACATGAAGCTGGCATGACTCTTCTTTTATCTTTTGTAAAACTCATCTTTGTGACCGTTGGAGGAGAAGATAAGATTGCTGACTTGGGCTTCTCCTTTGACTTGGGCTTCTCTTCACTTGGGCCAACATCTTTCTCATTTACGTTTGGTTCTGTTTTGAATTCAAACTCGTGTTCTGTTTTGAATCCAAGGTCGTGATCATGTTCTGTTGCTCAATATCAAGGACGCAAAAGAGTGGCTCGATGCACAAGTACCACTTCCCAGAGAAGCTACTCCTACATATGAAAGCCGATTAAACTTACAAGCGATCGGATTGCGATACTTCTCCGACAGGTCATGGAATCAAAATACAGGAGAAGCGGGGCTTGGTTGGCTCATCTGCGGTCCGAACAATTGGATCCTAGGCTAGGAAGCTAAGGGAGTATCTCAGATCTCAAGTCCCCTCATGGCGGAAGCTTTAGCGATGATAGAAGGATTGTTACAAGCGTCGATTCAGAATCTCCAGATCGAAACGTGGTTTCGGATTGCAAACAACTCATTGACCTTATCAACTCAAGAGGATCCCATTTAGAAATCTATGGGATCATTCAAGATATTCAAAATCTCTCTTACGATCTGAAAATCTCTACTTTTAATTTCATCGCAAGGGATTTGAACATTAAAGAGATTAGCAAAATCAGCAATGTACACTGAACCGGGTCAGTCCGGTTTAGGAACAATTTCGATTTAATTAATGAAACCAATTTCGACCAAAAAAAAAAAAAAAACATCAAATATATGACTTAGGGATGTTCGGGGTTTTGCGGACTTAAAAAAATCAATCACTTTCAAGATCAATCCGGTTTGGTTCAGATCCGTTGCAGT